AAATTAGAAATACAAATTTTAAGATTTTCTAACATAGAGCCAAAAGTATGCAATAAATTTATGTGTGTACCAATTGTAACAAGTCTGATACAGGAGGAATTAGACGAAGCAAAAAATTGGGCTCGTGAAATCGTTCTATCGTGTGACGATACAATGCTATTTTTGGTACTTTTTCAACTTTTCCTGCACTAAAATGCATAAAATAAGTAACGCAGAGAGGTTACTCAAATAGTGAAACGTAAAATTTCGTTTATTCTGCGAAAATCTCCAAATAAGTGACCCATTCGAGAAATCACACATATCCGCTCGGAACAGCATGGAAGGGGGGGGGGGCAGTTTGAATAAAAGCCCCTTGTGGGAGCCTACTGTGTGGGACATTAAAAAAATAAATTCCCTCTTTGGCTTCCTTTTATAATAAGTACACAGTTTATTGTCTCTCCTGAAAAATTAGACCGGATGGACATGTGTGGTTTTTGGAATTGCACATCCAAATACTGCCGTGCTAAGGTAGAAACCCGTATGAGCCTTCAAGCGTTGCCAAGTTTCCTCCGATAAAAACCGATATTACACTGGAAAAAAACACATTGAATCTAGAGTCCAGACTCTTAAAAACATTGACAAGAAAAAATACTCTTGATTCAATCGGATTTTTGCTTGAATCAAGAACCAAGCCTCTTAATTTGAGCGGATTTCCTTTTGATTCAAGCAAAAATCTGATTTAATCAAGAGTATTTTCTCTTGTCAATATTTTCAAGAGTCTGGACTCTAGATCCAATGTGTTTTTTTTTTCCAGTGTACTGGGAAAATTGCGAAAATTATATTCCGAAAATTTCAGATAATTTTATACGCAATTTAATCTAAAATATCTTAAAATTCCAAGGAAAAACATGCATACCTAAATGATGTCAAAAATACCTCAAGGGAAATTTGGCAACTCTCGAATGTTCATACAGCTTTCTTCCTTAGCACGGCAGTATAGTACCCTTAAATACTAGAGTCCCTTTATACTGAGAGTCAAGACAATGTGAATCCATTTCTGATTGGTTCCCGTATTTTAGGCCTTCACAGTGTCACAAACGGGAATAAAGATTACATTTTCACCGATTGCAAAGATTATAATCTGGAATGGACCAGGGAATTACGGGTTCGGCAAGGAACAAACGAAATGAGAGAAGGAACGGAGAAAGGAATTTAAGAATGGGCCGATCAAAGATTACAAAGAACGTTCAATTTCTGTAATCTTTATTCCCGTTTGTGACTCCATGAGGGGTGTTGTCTTGACTCTCAGTATTAAGGGACTCTATTAAATACGACCCATGACGTATCACTACCACTTATTCATTTGCAGGAGACACAATGCGCGACCCAGCTTCAAACTCAGGTAACAGTGCCGTCGGCGAAGGAGGTAGGTCAGGCGGTGGGCCAGGCCGGCAACTGGGCCGGGAACCAGGTAAACAATGCAGGGCAGGTGGCCGGCAATGTGGTCAACGGCGCAGGTAACTTGGCCGGGCAGGCGGTCAACGGCGCAGGCAATTTGGCCGGGCAGGCGGTAAGCGGCGCAGGCAACTTGGCCGGGCAGGCGGTCAGCGGTGTCGGCCGTGCGGCAGGCACGGTGGTCAACGGAGCTGGTCAAGTGCTTAACGGTGCTGGACAGCTGGGCCAGCAGGCCGTGAGTGGCCTCGGGAACGCCGCCCAGAACGTAGGCAACTTCGCCGGCAATGTCGTAAATGGTAAGGACCTTCCGTAAAAGAAGCGATCATGCTTAACCGTTGTGAAATCGGTGTCGATTCGATCGATTCACGGGTTTTTCGATCGATTCACGGGTTTTTCGATCGATTCACGGATATCGTTGATCGACTCACAGGTTTGTCACGGGTTTGTCGATCGATTCACGGTTGTTGATTGAATCGGTGTCGATCGAATCACATCGATCGATTCACGGTTGTTGATTGAATCGATGTCGATCGAATCACTTCGATCGATTCATGTCGATCGAAGTGACACCGTTTTTTCAATCATTTCTCGATCGAGTCGATGTCGATCGACTCACGTTTTTTTTTCGATCGATTCATGTCGATCGACACCGTTTTTTCAATAATTTCTCGATCGATTGACGTTTTTATTTTTCGATAGAATTGACAACGTTTTTTCAATCATTTCTTGTTCGAATCGATGTCGATCGAATCACGTCGATCGATTCAAGTGGGGCCTCTATTTAAAATTATATATAAACATATGTAAATGAAGAGAAGAAAATTAGTTGGGTTTTATCTAATGTTTTATCATTTGGAAAGACAATTATTCCAGCAAACTATACAAAAGCTTTAAAATCATAAGTTGATAACAGCTGACGTCGCAAGTTTGAATGATCGCGTCAAACACAGTGCGGCCGGCTGCGCGGGGCCGGCGCGCTCGTATAGTAGCGCCTTGCAAGACCGCAAGATACTTCATGCATTGCGCGCACAGCACGGATCGACGCGACGGTGCGGTGTGCGGTGCGAGCAACACGCACAGTACCGCCTTACAAGACCGCAGGATACTTCATGCGTTGCGCGTACACCATATCACCACAGTGCACGCTCAAGTCAGAGAGAAATCGTATTTTCTCGGTGTTGAACCTACCCCGGTGTACACCATTTCTGAACAGTGCACACTGCGAGCTTGCAATCCTATAGGGTCACAGGATTGTAGAGATTCAGCAATCCTGTAGGTTTTCCGGTGAAAATATAATTTCCGATTGGAAATTTTTCAAGTTAGAATGCTGTTACGTTTCATCGTCCGAAAAACGCCGAACTTAGCTAAATTCCAGGGAGAGAAAGTGGGCATTTTTCTTTATCATAAAAGAGGCAACATTTCCAGAGAGGTATCTTTGATATCACTTTCTCACAAAAATGAACTCTGGCAATCTTACCTAACTTCGGCAAATTTTGCAAAATGACCTAGTGACGCCTACGGTTGGTTTCGAAAAATCATCNGGGGGGGGGGGGGGGGGTTCATCGCGGCACCGCGATGGGCCAGTCTGTTAGCGATTTCCCGGGCCGCTTCGAAGAGACAGTCCGCCTTCAGTGGGCACCAAACAATTGGTCGGCCTTTGGGGGAAATGGGATCATTCAAAATCGAGTATTTCAAAATTTGGAACCCTCAATCAAACTTCCCGCCAAAACTGAAAAAAAGTCAACGTGACTGAGCGTTTAGTCACTTTCAAGTAGAGTCCCTTTATACTGAGAGTCAAGACAACACCCCTCATGGAGTCACAAACGGGAATAAAGATTACAGAAATTGAACGGTTTTCGTAATCTTTGATCGGCCCATTCTCGAATTCCTTTCTTCGTTCCTTCCCTCATTCCGTTTGTTCCTTGCCGAACCCGTAATTCCCCGGTCCATTCCAGATTATAATCTTTGCAATCGGTAAAACTGTAATCTTTATTCCCGTTTGTGACACTGTGGAGGCCTAAAATACGGGAACCAATCAGAAATGGATTCACATTGTCTTGACTCTCAGTATAAAGGGACTCTACTTTCAAGTAGTCTGCATCAGAGGAGCATACTCTGGTGGAAGCTTTTATTTCTCTGACTTCAACATTCAACTGTTGACCTATCCACTAGTTGGATATTGAGAGACAGGAAGATTATTTTATTCAGCAAAAAAACTTACTTTTGATAAAATATTTTGGTATATTGCGCCACCCGAGGTTCATCAGCTAGTTGGTGGATCAATAGCCAATACAAGTGTGATGACTGTTGCTCTTGAGTCCTCATGACCATTGCGAGGAGTTGTGAGACTGGAGGGGCTCGGCTATATAAAAGTATATCTTTGCCATTGTGCACTGAAAAAAAGTATGGTAACATCTACTATAAGCCTACTCGATTTTTTACACAGTGCTACTATTTAGTGAAAATAACCAGCATTATAGAAGTATTCACCAGAACTATGGTGATACTTACCATAATATGGTGCATGCTATCATAAGAGTATAGAGTTTCTTACCATACTCATATTACTGTGTCAGAGTTGGTAAAATCTGCCATATTTTTATCTCACAATCAGTGTATACTTGTTGAGACGAGACGCTCAAAGGAGCGCAAAGTCTGACTGCAGATTGTGATGTTAGGAGTGGATTCTACACCTTTTTGATGCGCTAACGGTTATTTTTCAGGTAATTTTTTCAGGCAACATCATTTCTTTTTGCCCTAGCAGAAGTTTGCAACAGATCCACCAATGACAAGAAAAAGTGTGGGCTGGTGCTCATGTTTTTTTTGTTTTACAAAATGTGGCTAAGTTCAATATGTTTGTTACAGCACATTTCATTCCAGTATGAAACCCATTTCACAAAATTGTTATTGATATTTGACGGTTGTGGAAGTGGCGTGGCGTGCTTTGCAATTTATTGATTGATATGCCATTTAAACTTATGGAAAAGGATCTATATACACGGTACTCGCAACGAACACCATAATAATCGATTCTTTACCGTAGCTTCAAATGGGGAAATATCGATAATCGATTATTCACGCCACGCCACTGTGCTGTGGGATTGTTCTAGATCACCAGTAAACTATACAGTGAATCCGGCATTAAGCTGTTGACATTAAATTTCACATCAGGCTTGTAATGCTATCTGATATTTTATGTCACCTGTTTTTATTTGAAGTTATGGTGTGAGGGGCCTCTGAGTTGTTTTGCCGCGGCTACATCAATATTTTAAGCTTCCCATTCTCCAAATTTTCTCTCTTATCATCGTCATATCTGCGAGTCTATGGGACCAATTCCAGTGACACGTTGGCAGTACTGTTCCCTCAATATTTGAATTCATGATAAATACTCGTTTTAGGTGAAATGGCCTGCTTCAATAATTTTACACGCCATAAGTGGACGAAACCCTGAGTGGCTTGGAAATCACAATGAACGCATCGAGATTAATAGAGATCTACTCTTAACTTCAAAATTTGCATGAATAATGTGCGATTTGACTCACGTAGTTTAGTGTGTTTTCATGAGCGGGAGGTTTGAATTAACGTATCAAGAAACATTAAATATCTTAGTTAGGAGATCATTTCAGTAATTTTCAATGCGCGAATCGTATTTTACGTGAAATTTTGGTCAAGAAACATACATCAGCATGCTTAACCCTCCGCCGCCGCTAACCATGCGCCGCGGGTCAAGTGGTGAACACCTGGAGAGTCAAAACGCCTTCATATCCGTGCGTATGCAGCACGGACATCCATCAAGCTCGAATAGTTGTATCGGCCATGCGTTTATTAATTTCGCTAATTGTCCGTCGAATGCGTCACTAACTGAGAGCTTTTTGTTTGTTCCCCTTACTTTTTAATTTGATCCCAGCGTTGCGTATTGTGCCGAAGAAGTAAACTATTTCTGACTCTTATTGCGACATTGTAAATTTTTCGAAAAATGCTTGGATAGATGAAAATAAAATTTCTAACATTGCCCTCCTGGAATGTGGGCTGCATAGGTCTTAAAACTACTGACCTAAGAACAACGACTGCTGTAGGGCCGTTTCAGTTTTACCAGACAAAAATTCTGTTATATTAGTTCAAGTCAGTGCCGTAATGCAAGTATGCTAATTGACAGAGGTACCTACCTGGTAGGTATTTGTATTGTCTTGACAACCTATTGGGTGAGGTCCCATCAAAATGACATTGACAGTAATAAAACACTAAATATATCACTGAGCTCCGCATACCCGCAACTACAGAGCCATTAAATTTATTGTGATGGAAAGTTCCGATTGGGATGTTGGCCAGTGTGCCATGTTTGTTTTTCTCGGGAGGAGGCCTTTTTTCCTTCGATTTGAATTTCGCGCCACAACCTAATTTCAGAGACTACTAGTTGTCCCACTCATATGCTGCTCTGCTTGATATAGTATACCTACTTAAAAATTAACTCGGCCATTTTAGGTTTTGTACTGGTCTGACTGCACGTAAGTAAACAAACCAAACTAGAAGCCTGCTCTAAGTAATTTTTTAATAGTTCTAAAGAAAGAGCTCCTGCTTTCTCCTCGGGTTGTCCTTGAAGGGTAGGAGAGAAAGAGAATGATTGGATTGAGGAAAAACTTATTTCGGTTTGCAACGTCGCAAATTTCTAGTCATATTTTAAGTTTGGAGCTGAACATCATCATCGTAAAAATGTTTTATATTTTAATTCGTTCCCCGAAGAATATAACCTGAAAATATAGTACAAGAATGTCCAGTAATGTGACCGTTTATGTGGCAAGGCAATCTTAGTCCAAGAAAATGAATCTTCCAAGAGGGTAACTTTTGCTAGGTATATACAGGGTTAAAAATTCGGCTTCCGAGTTTTGAAAGAAGATTTTTTTAGTGTTACTAAGAATAAGTTGCCAGCAGTTTTTAAGTTCATTTTTGTGCTAAAAGAGGGCATAGGGTTGCATTTCAGAAAATCCATATTTTATCGCAGGAAATTAGGCAACGTTTGAATGTTTATACGTCGTTTTCCCTAGCACGACAGTGTTATAATTCCATCCCGCGTCACTATGCTCGTCGTACTCACATTGTGCTCCGTGAACTTGTTTCCCTCGCAGGCATCGGGAATGGGTTGACGTACGCGGTGACGGCAGGCGGACGAACGATCCAGGCGGCCGGGCAAGCCATCACGAACGTGGCTATGTTCCCGATAAACGTAGCCCGAGGCACTTACACCGACCTCCAGATGAGGATGATGAAAATGCAGCTCCAGATGGCCGCTTACAAGCAAGCTGTGGCCAACAGCTACAACTACTCCTCGCCCCAGTACGCCTACCAATCGGCCATGTTCGACCAGATCGCAATCGTCGACCTCACACCCTACGTCAATTCGGTAATAATAGAGTCCCTTTATACTGAGAGTCAAGACAATGTGAATCCATTTCTGATTGGTTCCCGTATTTTTGGCCTTCACAGTGTCACAAACGGAAATAAATATTACATTTTCACCGATTGCAAAGATTATAATCTGGAGTGGACCAAGGGATTACGGGTTCGGCAAGGAGCAAACGGAATGAGAGAAGGAACGACCGATCAAAGATTACAAAAAACGTTCAATTTCCGTAATCTTTATTCCCGTTTGTGACTCTATGAGGGGATGTTGTCTTGACTCTCAGTATAAAGGGACTCTAGGTGATAAGAGAGAGATGAGACACAATAGCCCGAATGCAGACAACGATAAAAACAAATTAAAATACAAAAAAACAAAGGGGTGTACAGGGCTAAGGAGACATGAAAGAAACCAGGACGTTTCGGGCCAATTACATGCCCATTCTCAAGTGGAACAGAAGCTTAAAAATGTAAAACTTAAAACGAGAAAATGAGCATGCAACTGATCGAGGTAGGAATCAGTGCAAACACTGATTCCTACCTGATTCCTGAAAACAGTGGTGTTTGCACTGATTCCTACCTCGATCAGTTGCATGCTCATTTTCTCGTTTTACATTTTTACATTTTTTAGCTTCTGTTCCGGTTGAGAATGGGCATGTAATTGGCACGAAACGTCCTGGTTTGTTTTATGTCTCCTTAGTATTGTATATCCATTTTTTTTTTTTTTATTTTAATGTGTTTTTATCAATTCGGTAATCTACCGTGATAGCGAAGAGAGCAGTAAGTGCAAAAATGAAGTTTTGAGAAAGCGGGCCCAGAAGTGTCTGACCGGAAAATTTTATTGAAAGAAGCCTTTGCTCTTTGTCAAATTGCCACTAGTCATCCGAAAGATTCCTAGAAATCGTTTGAACTATTAAAGATCGACCGATTTTTTTTTTCTATCACCTGATAAGGGTATTTTACATTTTCCTGCTTGGTTACTGTTACGTAAGACAGCTGTCAGTAAGAGGAATAAGGTCACTTACTGCTGTCTCGCCTGAAACTACGCCATTTTTTGCGCACTTACGGCTTTCTCATATGTCTCGTTTTGATACAATTAAGATGAATTTTGCTCTTCTAGCTACTTCAGTGATTCTGTGTAAAAAAAATTACGAATTTTGAAGGAAACTCGATTTCGAAAATTTGGCACCTACTGCTCTCTTCACCATCACGGCAGTAATCTCAAGCCATTGAAAATGATAATGGAGAATTTTCACGCAGATTTTTTATTGCTTCATCTAAGAATGCGTCAACAGCCGATTTCGTAGCATTTTTTAAAACAAATTTCTGATAAGGGAAATGATAGGTTAATAGATTTAAAAATGAGAAAATGCACCGCCTAGTGTCGTAATCTGGTGGCATTTCCCATTTAAACATATCGACGGCGTAAGTCCGCAATCACATATCTCGTTAGCGGTGTCTGAAAAGAGGGTTATTCATATAGGCGAAAAACGTACCCAGCCCGGAATGTACGAAACTTTGTAGGCTGATAGTACTAGTTGAGAGAGGCTTATCCCTAGCTCCGTTTTTGCAGGAACCCCAGGGAAACAGCGTTGCCATTTTTTAAAGTCGTAACCTTCAAACATCCATAACTTTCGCAAAAATGCAGTTACAGAGCTCGTATTTG